GGGGGGGGGGGGCATTTTTAGGCAGACCATTTTAGCGTTTTCCAGCCCTACCACCCACTCGCTCCCCAGAGGTGCTGAGCTCCCTGCAGCACCCAGATCCTGTGGCAGAGGCCCCAAGGGCAGGCAGTGCCAGTGGTTTACAGCAATGGGGCAGGGAGGGGCCTGACTTAAATCCTTTCTACCCCGGCCTCTTGGAGTCCTCCTCCCCAAGGCACCACACCTTGCTATTGCAGCTCCTGGATGGGGAATTTCTCCAACCGTTTTGCTCTTGGTCAGGACACGTCTCAGGTACTCTCTGCTGCTCTTCAATTAAGGAGATATCCAGCCCTGCTGGAAAAGATGCACATAAGCCCCTCTAGGATGAATCTCACTCCCTTGAGAAGGGGTAGGAATGAGCAGGTAGGAAGAAGAACCCCAGGGTTCCCAGCTCCCAACATCGTCCTCTTCTTGTGGTAATGGTGTTGTAGCTTCAACCAAAAGAGAGACTCACCTGGGCATGGACCTGGTGGAGTTACAAGGCAGCATGCAGCAGCACCAGCACCATGCTCAAAGCTAATTCTGTGTCCAGAGATCCCTGGCTAATTCCTCTCCATCACAGCCACATGCCTGGCAATGTGGTGAGCGAACATCTCTAGCATTGTTCCTTGAAATTATCATTACAGACTGACGGAAGGAGAGAAGCTGGCAGGCTAAGATGCATTCACAAAAATATCCCCTCTAAAGTCAGCTTAAATAAATCTCCATCATCGTTGGGAGCGCTGCGTGGGAGAGCTCCTGTCAGCACGGCTGGTGAGGAGGTGGGCTTTGCTGCTCCTCTCCTGCCGCGTCGCCTTCGCCCCTGACGAGGTGTCACAACCTCAGCTGTGCTCCAGACACCTCCTCGCTCACACCAGGCCAGCCCTCGGCTCAGGCAGGGCTGTTGTGTCCCCCGAGTCCCCAGGCCATGACTCTGTGCAAGGCAGGGTACGATTGCTCAGCAGCTCCAGCTGGAGATGGTGATGGAGCCTGGGAAGGAGCCTCCCTGCTTTCCCTCTCCAGCACCAGCACAGAGCACAAGGAATGGCCTGCTGTGCCCTGTCCCCACTGCAGCCCTGGAGCAGGGAGGCACCTGGCCCCCACACCATGCCAAGGGATATATGACACTCAGACTGTGGCAGGTGAGGGGAAAAGCCACCGGGATCAGAGCAGAAGGAAGGGGCCCTGGGATCAGCGCGTGGACTTGGCAATGGAGTGGATGCAGTGCAGGCATCCCACGGGGTGCCAAGGTGTGCCTGCAGACCCCCGGTGCTGGCAGGCAGATAACCCACCTCCTTTGCCCCACAGGCTGGTCTCAGGGCGGGAGGAGATTAAAGCTGCTTCCCGAAGCTCACCCCAGCCCATGTCACCCTCTGATTTCCTGGACAAGCTTATGGGACGAACATCAGGGTACGATGCCCGAATTCGACCCAACTTCAAAGGTAAGAGAGGATGTGAGGGTCCCAAACCTGGCAGCAATCCATGCTCATGGCTGCCCAAATCCAGGGAATGGGCTCTGGGGGCAGGACCCTGACCCACATTCCTCTGTCTCACACCCTTCCCAGAGTCCCGGCTGCTCCTGCCGTCACGGCCGCTCTGTGTGTGCCCGCTTTGTCTGACAGCACGGGCGGCTCAGTGCTTGCAGGGCGCACTGGGGTTCACCCCGACACCCCCCGGGGGTGGCCCCAGCAGGCAGGGGGACGCTCGTGTGCCCTGATCCACACAGCACATGCAGGAGCTGTGTCCCTGCGTGTGCCTGCGCAGTGCCCGTGTCTCCGCAGCCAGCGGCAAGAGGAGGCTTCACGCTGTTTTCCAGGTCCACCCGTCAACGTGACGTGCAACATCTTCATCAATAGCTTTGGCTCCGTCACCGAGACCACCATGGTGAGGGTTTTGCCAGGGTTTGCACGGGCTCCTCCCCCAGTGCCTCGGGGCTGGCTGTGGCTGTGCCCAGGAGCGTGTGGGTCCCAGTGCCCAAGCCCATGGCCGTGCTTACAGTGATCCTTTGACAGGGGCCCTTCCCTAGCACCAAGGTGGGGACATGCAAAGCCATAGCACATGGCTGTGAATTTTATGGGGGTCAGTTAACCCAAGCTTGGCTGTGTGGGTCACACTCCCTGTTCCTGAACTGGGAGAAAGACCCTCAGGAGGTCACAGTGAGGCAGCTGTAGGCAGCTTCCTGCCATCCCCAGCCTCCTTGGGTACACGAGGAACTCCTCTATGGAAGCCCTAGGGCTAAAAATTCACCTTTTGTGCTTCTGCAAAGCCTTAATACCATCAACCATCACATCAACACGGCCACAGAGTCATATGCAGAGTGCTGCAAGCTGCAGTTACTGGTCTTCCTCCTTTTCCTCCTCCTCCTCCTCTCAGCTGCTGTGGCTTTGGCTTTTTTAATTTCTCCTGGCTGCCAACAGCATGGAAAGGCTCCAGAGCTGCCCCTGCCCCATGCACAATTAGTAGCAGGCAGGAGGCAACTGCAGGGCTGAGCCTCAGTGGGGGGAGCCCCTTCCACCTCCTTCTCCATCCCTTCTTCCTCCCCCTTCCTGGGCACCGGGGGGTGCTCCCAGCTGACGGGGTGCCCTCTGTCCCAGGACTACCGGGTGAACGTGTTCCTGCGGCAGCAGTGGAACGACCCCCGCCTGGCCTACCGCGAGTACCCCGACGACTCCCTCGACCTCGACCCCTCCATGCTCGACTCCATCTGGAAGCCAGACCTGTTCTTTGCCAACGAGAAAGGGGCCAATTTCCACGAGGTCACCACCGACAACAAGCTGCTGCGCATCTTCAAGAATGGCAATGTGCTCTACAGCATCAGGTAGAACCTTCTCCTCTGGTGCGGTGCCTGAGAGGGGAGGCAAGGCCTTTCATGGAGCAGCTTTTCCCTACTCACTGCCCCAACCCCCTCCTTCCCTCTGCCTCCTTCAGGCTGACACTGATCCTGTCCTGCCCCATGGACCTCAAGAACTTCCCCATGGACATCCAGACATGCACCATGCAGCTGGAGAGCTGTGAGTACCTAGGGGGGTTCAAGCTGTGCTTCTTCCCCCCATTTCATCCCATCCCAAAAGCTGGCATCTGCCCTCTCCTGAGGGAGGTGAGCAGGAAAGAACAGTTGTTCAGGGTGGGGTTGAATAGGGTGCATGTCCCTCCCCATCCCATGGCTCCCTACATCCCCTCCAGTTGGCTACACCATGAACGACCTCATCTTTGAGTGGCTGGAGGAGCAGGAGGCTGTGCAGGTGGCAGAGGGCTTGACACTCCCACAGTTCATCCTCAGGGATGAGAAGGACCTGGGCTATTGCACCAAGTACTACAACACAGGTGAGCACCCCAGGATCCTGCTGCCACCCCCTCCTCCTAGCCCAGGAGTCCCTCTCACCCATCAGGGCTGTCTTTCCCCACAGGCAAGTTCACCTGCATTGAGGTGAAGTTCCACCTGGAGAGGCAGATGGGTTACTACCTGATCCAGATGTACATCCCCAGCCTGCTCATTGTCATCCTCTCCTGGGTCTCCTTCTGGATCAACATGGATGCGGCGCCAGCCCGAGTGGGCTTGGGCATCACCACGGTGCTCACCATGACCACACAGAGCGCCGGCTCCCGGGCCTCCCTGCCCAAGGTCAGTGCTGCCTCCGTGCTGGGCTCCCCTGCTGCAGCCTGCCCGGGTACCGGGGTGCCACTGCCACCCCCCAGTGCTCCAGGAGCAGGGAGAGCCTTTCAGAGGCTTGGCTGGGACACCACCTGTGCTGAGGAGGAACACGGTGCTGCTTGGCTGGGCGAGCTCTGGCCCATGTGTCCAAGCTGGGAGGGCTCCTGTGGCTGTTGGCAGCAGGATGAAACTGGGGGGGGCAGGGATGACTAGCTAGGCAGGGGCCAGTGGGTGCCTGAGCCCCCTCTCCCCCTGGCAGGTGTCCTACGTGAAGGCCATTGACATCTGGATGGCCGTGTGCCTGCTCTTCGTCTTTGCTGCCCTGTTGGAATACGCAGCCGTCAACTTTGTCTCCCGCCAGCACAAGGAGTTCATGCGCCTGCGCCGCCGCCAGCGCCGCCAGAGGATGGTGAGTCCCCCCACCACCACTCTCACTGACATCTGTCCATCCTCAGCCCCTGAGGGGACACCCCAGGGCTGCAGGGCCACTTTCCAGCAGCCCCCAGCGCAGGGCTCGGCGCTGGGCTGTGTTCATTGCCCATGGCTTGTGGCCGGCTCCTCTGGCACACCAGGGACCCCCTGCCTGCCTGAGCAGCACAGGGCACAGCACCCTTGGATGCCCCAGGCCTTGCTTAGGGTGCTGCCTTCTCCTGCAGGGATGCCCTCAGGCTCTGCTTCCTCTCAAAAAGTAGAAAAACAAACAGTGAGGATGGGGGGAAAACAACCTTACCTGCAGCCCCAAACCTGGGCTCCTTGCTGTGCCTCAGTGGTGACGAGGGCTCACTGCTGTGTCAGGGTGCTGAGGCACCAAGGGGACCTGGTGGCACCAAGGGACAGGCCTGGGCTGCAGATGTGGAGAGGCAGGGTCCCTCACTCATGGAAATGGTCCTCCCCTCCGTCAGCCCACCAACACAGGCCTGTTTGGGGCGGGCATGTGGCTGCCCCACTCTCATTTCCTTGCCATAAACACACCGCGAGGCACCAGATCTCCACAGAAAACATGAGTACATGTACACACCACACGGGCTGACAGTGCCCTATGCAACCAAATCCTGTGCTGAAGACAGATCCTGGTGCCAGGGCACTGCTGGAGGGGGGGGGTTTCCCCCACACAGACCCCCGTGTCCCCACTGTCCCCCAGAGCCGCTGCCGCGGGGCCGGGGTAGGACCATGGGTCACCCGCTGTCCTGTTTCTGTTTGGTGCACACTGCTGGATGCCAAAAGGGCCTGAGCAGCGGGACGGCCAGCCTGGAGTCCCTGCGGCAGCTGAGCAGCCGGCACAGCAGCGAGCACACCTACGCGACGCTCTCGCAGCTCTCCAGCTCCCGGGTAAAGCACGACCCCCCTGGCAGCCCCTCCATGCAGCGCAGCTCACCCTCCCCTCCCCAAAACAAGCCCCCCAGGAGCTGGCCCCAGGGGAGCCACAAGGGCCCGTGGAAGAAGCAGACCAGTGATTTGCACAGAGTATGTGCCCATAGGATGGAGCTGCCGCTCCCTGGGCTCAAAAGAGTTTTGAGAGAGGGATGGGAATGGAGCAGATCTCCCTTGTAGACACCCCCGTTCTGTGCCTCAGTTTCTCCTTCTGTAAAACAGTCCCCTTTGCTGAGGACTGAGTGATGCTGAGGCAGACTGATGGCTGCTCCTGGGCTGCTGCCCCAGGCCATGCCCACTCCTCTGACAGGGTGAGGGCTCTCTCTGCCTGCCCGGCTGCCTCGGTGCAGGCAGGTTTGAGGCAGTCGGGGCTGCCCGCAGTCACTCCAGCAGCTGCTCAGGGCACACGGGCACTGTGCAGCTTGAGGCGTAGGGAGGAGCGTGGGGCAGGACAGGCTCCCAGGATGGTGGGGAGGTGCAGAAGCTCCAGGGAGATCAGGCCTGGTTGTCCTTGCCTCCCCTCCACCTTCATCAACCTCTGGACGCCAGGAGAGGCTTCCTGGCTGTCCCCAGCACGGTCCTGTGCTCCCTGCCTTTCACAGCCCCTGAGCACCGACCCCTGGAGATCAACACCCACCTAGCCAGGGAAGGGAGCGAGGGGGTTCTGTAGAACCCAGGGGCATCTGATGGCTTGGGACAGACCTCCCCAAGGTGGAGGCTGCAGAGCCACTCCGGGGTGCTGCTGACATGGCACTGCGTGCAGCCAGGAGCACCTCAGGGTGCTCCTCCGACAGAGACCGGAGCAGAGCCCCACTGCACACAGCTCCTGTGCCTGACAAAGCAAATCTCTCCCACAGACCACCCAAATCCACTCCCAGGAGCTCCCAGCACCAGCCTCGGCCCCCAGTAAGCATCCTGGGGCTGCCCCAGCCCAGAGGGACACTCCAGCAGGGAGGACCAGTCTGCCGTGTCCTGGGGGAGTAGCTGCTGGCCCCCAGGGCACACGGGGCTCCCCCCACCTGGGCAGCCACGAGCACTCAGCCTGGGGCAAATAAGAACTAATCTCAGCAATTTGAGCCGCTGCTGCTGGTCCTACTGAAAAATCTTGCTTAGCCTGTGGATTGCTGAGTTAAATAAGGATAGCAGGGGACAAACTCTCTGCATGAGAGCCCCCGTGCCAGCCGAGTGCCTGCACGGGCTGAGCTCAGCGAGCAGGGCTGATCTCCGTGTCCTGGAGGGCAGTGCCGGTTGCAGATGGCGTTTGAGATCCAGCACTGAGGCTGTGGGTGGGCACAGCACAGGGAGAGGCACTGGCCCTGGGAGAAGGGACCCTCCACGGCCAGATACAGCACCGGCAGGGCAAAGGGGAGAGGAGCCATGGAGACCAAATGAGTCCAAATGAGCCCAGGGACTCAGTAAAACATCAGATGTGCAGCCTGTGCTTGCACATGCCTGTCCCTCACCAAATCTTTGCGCACACAACCCTCTCCAAGGATAACAGAGCAGGACAAGGCACGTGGCTAACAGTGCACAGCTGTTGGTGGGGAGGAGTGCAGGCACTGCTGTGAGGGACTGTGAGGCAAGCAAGGCTGTGCCCTGAACAGTGGCAGTGGGCTGTGACTGGAGATTTTCACGGCATTTTTGCAGCCTTGATCGTGGGGATTCAGCTCTGTGGGCACACTGCCCTCTCTGCAGCCCCCTGCCAGCATGGCAGGAGACAGGCTGAGCAAGGACAGAGAGCTCAGCAAGGAGACAAACTCTCTCTCAGCCTCCCTCCTCTGCTGCACCAGTCAGCCCCCGCCAAGCAGACATGGGGAGAAACGAGTGTCTGGGCCCTTGGAAAGACTGGGGGGCCCTGCAAGCTCTGGTGGTAGCCAGGCTCCTGCATCCCTGCCTGGCTCTGCCCCAGCAAGATGCCTGTCCCCTCCTGTTCACCACCACAGGCACACTTCCACCCCGCAGCAAACACAGCTACCACAGCAGTGCCTGCACCCCTGAGACCCCTGCACCCCAGTGCACCCTGCACCCCCATGTGCCCATCCTCCCACCAGTTCACCCTCATGCCCAAGAGCTGGGCTTCTCAAGCCCCCGAGCTGGAGCTGGGAGGAGGCTGGGGGGATCTGTGTCAGGCTGGCAGGGTCAGGGTTGCCTTTGGATGCACCCCTAAAACGTGCTGGCTGGGAAGGCCATGGGTCAGCACTCACCCCCATCCCTGTGCACACCACTGCTGGTCCCGTGCTCCTGCCTGCATGGTTCAGGCTCTCCGAAAAAGCACCCAACCTCACACCAGGCACTCATCACCCAGCACCACAGGGTGGGTAGGACACGCAGACACAAGCAGCTGCTCACCCTGCAGCACCAGCACCCGTGGGTGCCCTGGCTGACAGCCTTTCCCTTCGCCAGGAGGAAGAGCTTGTCCGCGAGAGCCGCTTCTACCTGCGAGGCTACGGGCTGGGCCACTGCCTGCAGCCCAAGGACGGGGCTGGGGAGGGCCCCAGCATGTACAGCCCCGCTCCAGCCACTCCAGCCACGCTGCTGCGGGAGGGGGAGGCCCTCCACAGGCGCTACATCGACCGGGCCAAGCGCATCGACACCGTCTCCCGAGCCGTCTTCCCCTTCACCTTCCTGGTCTTCAATATCTTCTACTGGGTCGTTTACAAAGTGCTGCGCTCAGAGGACATCCACCTGGTGCCCTGAGGCCTGGAAAAGTACGACTGCCTGTCTGTCTGACCCTCTGCAGTGTGCCCGGGCAACACAAGCTCAGCCAGAACTGTATTTGCCTCTGTCCCGGAGCAGCTGCTCAGCTGGGCTGGGCCTCAGAGCCTGGACACGTGGCAGCCCATTCCCCACTGGATCCCAGGGCACCAAGTGGGGGGATCAACAACTGCAGGTCCCCACAGTCAGCTGGAGAGAGGGACCCTTCCTACTTCCTGCATGGTGTCACCCCCAGGTACCCAGGGATGCTCATCTGCTGGGGAAGCCCCAGGTACCCAGGGATGCTGTGCCGTCAGGGCACAGGGGAACAAATACTACCCAGGAATGCAGTGCTGGATGGCATAGGGGAGCCCCTGGTACTCTGGCATGCTGCACAGACAGTGGCCAAAGAACATCAACTTCCAGAAAAATACTCTCCCCCTCCACACCTACCCAGTTAGGCTGTGGCTTTTCCAGGCTGCATCATGGAGCTGAGGGCCATGAGCAGTGAGGGGAGAGGCTGCAGTTCTCTCCTCTAGCCTAGAGCTCGGTTGCAGGAAAGGCTGGACTGTATGGGGTGCTGGCTACGGCCCCATAGCCCCCAGCCCAGCAATGGACAGGGCCCCTCCAGCCCCCCTCCAGCTCCAACGCACAGCAAAGCAATGGATCAGGGATGCTTCCCTCCCTGCACAGCTCAGAACTGCCCATGGTACCCACAGCTGCAGGCAGGACTGTGGCAGGGGCACTGGACAGGAGGCTCTGTTTGCTCCAAGGCAGTGCCAGCTCTGAGGCAGGCAGCAGGCAAGCCCAGTCCTGCTGACGGTGAGGGGGCACAGATGGCCACTGCAGTTGCAGACGGCAGTCACTGGGCACTGGGGAGCCAGCACTGCACTATCAGCCGGGTAGGGCCCACAGCCCATCTTCCAAGGGAGTTTTTCAGGATGAAAGCAGTGGGGACAGCTTGGCTGATCCTTTTGGGTGAGCAGAGTGAGTGGTGGCATCCCCAGACTGCTGCGTTCCCACAGCACCACAGTGCCAGCAGAGAGCCGGAGGTAGAAACCAGCCTGTTCCCCAGCCTGGCACCTGAGTGCAGCATCCCCTGGGCATGTTCACCCCTGCTACCCCTCCTGGACAGGAAAGCAACTGAAACCTTGACAGGACAAGCTCAGCAAGACTTCCAGCCCTCCAGACCTGAATACCCTCCATGCTTAGCAGGAAATAAAAGCAGTAGGTAACATTTACATAGGTCCTACAGAGAGAAACATGTTGATGCTCTCCTTTTCCTCTGCCCACAGTCAGCCTGGGGGGCTTGCAGCCCATCCCCTCCATGGCATGGGAGCCAGCAAAAGCCCAGAGTCTTCCAGGTAGGGCAGGATGGAAACAGGATTTTCCCCTTTCCCTAAAGGCTGTGGTGCCCCCATGGCCCAGCAGTGACCTACCTGTCGTGGCAGAATGGACCCTGCAGGGCAGGGGGATATGGGCAGGAGGCCAGCACTGCCTTCTGAAGCCAAACCCAGGAAGAAACCCCTGCTATGAGCCCTGGCCTGGCTCCTCAGGCAGGAATCACCCTTTCCCTCACAGGACCGGGAGCATCGCCCTGCCCCACCCGACCCCCTGAACCCCATAGAGTCCTCAGCCACGTGCACCCATTTCACAGACTGGGCAAGCAGAGAACTGGCCCCAGGCCACGCCACGAGAGGACTGAGGGACCCACGAGGACAGGCTGGGCCAGCTCCATCCCATCACCACCTCTGTGCATGCCTCCCCCACCGTGGGCTTCCCTGTGGGGCCCCACCCCATGTCCAGGCTGGACTCGGGGAGTCCCTGTTTGGAGGCCCTGTTTGGAGGCAGAGGAAGGGGTGTCCCTCGGCTCCCCAGCACCCAAGGCAGTGCCAAATGGGGAGGTACCAGAGTCTGAGCAGCACCCACAGGCACTGGGCAGCCACGCCAACCTCCAGCAGTGGTGGGTTTTTAAACAGCATCGATCTTCCTACGCAAATAAAGCTTTCTGGGGTTTTCAGTGGTGTGCTGGTGATTTGTCTCTGCCAAGAACCCTGCAGCCAGCTCCTGCTCCCAGCGGGGCCCCAGTGTGTGGGGGGAACAAGGGCAAAACCACCCTGTGGGGACAGGAGCCCTGACCTGCCATTAGTCACAGATGTCATTACCTCCACGGGTGATTTTTCTGACATCATGTTTATCTCCCCCATGGGAAACGCCAGCAGGGATGGGCAGGAGCCCCCCACAAGCTCCCAGTCCCAAGCCCTATCACTGTCCCTCCCCACCCAGCTTTGCGGGGTGCTCCCCACGGTCACCCCAGCCCCTTTCCACCCCATCCAGGCTTGGCCAGAAGACAGGACCCAGGATGAGGCAGAGCTGGGGACAGGGGGGCTCTGGCTCTGCGGTGGAGCTCAGACACCCGAGCATGTGCAGCCTCCCGATGGATAAACCTCCCTGCCCGGCCCCTCGGCCCCTCCGGGCTGCTCGCTGGGCCGGCGCCAGCCTTACAGAGCTGCCAGCTGTGCTGGGGGGCTTACGCCAGCCCTGCAGTGCCACCCGGGGCCAGGGCTTTTGTCCCCAGCTGGTGCATGGGCGGGCAGAGCCCGCAGCTGAGGGCTGAGCGCCCAAGCAAACATCAATCTCCCTCTGTCCTCCCAGCCAAGTTTCACAGACCAGCTCTGTTGGTACCTCGCAGCCCCATCGCCCGCCCGGCCCCACCGAGGCCATCGGAGGCAGGGAGGAGAGAAAGCAAACTGCACCCGCGCTGGGCTGGTTGGGTCCGGGGGCTGTTCTTTGGAGGGGACAAACGAAACTTCCCCGGGGTCTTGATCTCGTCCCCACCTAGTTTGGACTGGGAGCTGCTGGGACACCCACACAGCTGCAGGGCTGTCCCTGCCCTCCAGCACTCAGCTCCTCACACCCTGGGGACAGCAGCAGCATCCGGGCTGGGGTGCTGAGCCCCATGTGCTCCCACAGGTCACAGCATGGCCAGGGGCCAGCCCAGGTGGCTCCATCCCCCAGCAAAGCCCACAGCCTTTGGACAGAGTCAGTTTTCCATTCTCCACCCAAGGCTGTGCACTGGAGGGTGCATCCCAGCCACCACAGGAGGCAGCTCTGGGCACAGGACCAACAGCCAGGGCTGAGTTAATTACTGGTTTAAAAGGAAGTTAATGAAGTTAACACCAGGTTAATGGGGCTCCCATTAACAGCAAAATGAGCATCATCAGCACTGGCAGCTTCCCGACAGCCTGCCAACAGCATGCCCAGGGCCAGGAGCACACACGAGTTTGGGGCAGCCCTTGCCAGCCCCAAGGGCTCCTTGGAGGCCTTCTGTGGGTCCAAGGAAAAGTGCCCTCGGCTGGGCACTGCAGTGGCATGCCAGCCAGGCCCCTGCTCTGCCAACCACAGAGGGCCTGATCCTGCTGGAACTGAGCTCTGCTGCTCTCCATGGGCAACATCAGGCTGCTTAATCTTCCCTTGTTCCCCCTCTCCTTCACTCATCCACAGCCTGGAGCTCCCTTGGGGCAACACCAGCTTCCAGAGGTTTAGCCAACCATCCTGTCTGGATGCAGCAATGCCTGCAGGACAACATGTCCCACAGTGATCAGGACTCTGGGTTTGGAGCCAGGGGAGTGCAATGCATAAGGAACAGGCGACAGCTCTGCTGGGGCTCTGAGCAACCCCTGCACATTGCCTGGGTACAGAATTGTTTTTTTAAAGAAAATACCAAGCTCCAAAGTCAGCCAGGCAGTTCTGAGCAGGCCAGGGCTGCCCCTTACAAGCAGGGAAATGGACACAAGAGGAAAGCACCAGGAGCTGCCGCTGGGATGGGCTGTGCCAGGGGCACAGGGCCCTTGCAGGACCACAGACCCATAGGGACAGGAACCCTCCATCACAGGGGAGGTCCAGGCACAGGGTGCTCTGGTAGTGTGGCTGTTCCAGCACCCCAGCCCTCAGCACAGCGCTGCCAGTGATGCCCCCATGACAGAGGAGTCCCAGTGCACCCCTCTGCCACCTAAGCTGCGGCAACACCACTGCCTGTCACCCCCACCAGGGCCCTGCCAAACCCCACACCACCACGGCCACATCCACCCCACCCCCAGCACAGCTTTGGGACCAGCCTGCACCGCTCTGGGCACACCAGCCAGCCCACAGGGCACCCTACAGCTCCCCAGCCCAAGGGGTGCAGTGTGCCAGGTGCTCCTGGGGACAACAGGACAAGCAACAGGAAGCAACAGCGAGGGAGGACTGGAACCTGGAGGCAGGCAGGGATCAGCCCTGCAGCTCTCCTGAGCCCTGGGAATACAGGATAACAGCCCAACTCCAGACTGCCGTTTTGCACAAGAGAAAACAAAGCCATGAGGTTTTCCAGCCCCTAGAGTGCCTTGTTTTGTCCGACTTTGAGAAATCTCTGCGCTTCGGCTCCCCAAGGGGCAGGGGGAGGACCAAGCACTGGAACAAGGAGTGATTATCAACCCACAGGCTCTGAAGGGCTTTTGTTCCCTGGATGTGCCAGAGCAGGGATCGGAGGACACCTAGCGAGATGCCTGGATGGCCCCAGCACCAGAGGCACCCGCAGCCCAGGGCCATGACCCACAGCCCTGCAGTGCTCCCATCCTGCTCTCCTCCTCCTGCTGTGCTGGGGGCCACCACGAGAGCTCCAGGGGGCTGCAGGGGCTGGTCCAGCCTTGGGGAGAAGCACAGGGGAGAAGAACTGGTGTTATGAGGGTGGCAGTGACAGAGGGGAAGAGCACAGGGGATAAGGTGTTCAAAGAAGGAAGGCTCTGTCAGGAGCTGCTCACAGAGGTTTTGAGGCAGGGCTGAAAGACCAGAGCCAAAACCAAGTCCTGGGCCCGCGGGGTACAACCCCCCTTCCCCAGGACCCTGTGCTGACACACAGAGCACACACAGACCCACCACCCTGTGCTTGGGACAGCCCCCAGTGCCCCCAGACCCTGGGGCAGCTCCAGCACTGCTGAGCCCAGGCACAGGGACACACAGCTGCAGGACCAGGCCTGGCAGCAGGGATGAGGCACACACAGAATCACAGAACCATTTAGGTTGGAAAAGACCTCTGAGACCATTGAGTCCAAACAGCGACTGAACACCGTGTCAACCAGACCATGGCACCAAGTGCCACATCCAGTCTTCCCTTAAACACCTCCAGGAACAGTGACTCCACCACCTCCCTGGGCAGCCCATTCCAATGTCTAATCACCCTTTCTGTGATTAAATTCTTCCTAATCTCCAACCTAAACCTCC